ATGATCAGTCGGTCAGCTGGTTCTGTAAAATAACTCTACGGGTAACTAACGTTCTTTACAGTGCCACCACTTTATGCGCCCCTCTCACTGAAATAACATGTGACGCAAATTGAAGCATGAAACTAAGGGAGCCTCGATCGTTTATTGGAGGAAAAATTCAAAACTTATGTACCGCCACTTTTATGGGCGGAGCTTTCTTCCGGTGAGCTTCAATTTGCAGACATGCTGTCTGCATTATTTGTAACAACTTCTGTAAATGTGAAAACAAAGTGTGTAAGGGACGACATCAAAAGATCGATGTCGGATAAAAAACTTATTTGCTTTAGTTTGGGGGTGGGAGGTTTTGACCTCAAAAAGTTTCTATCCTACAAAAACGATTTTATTTTTTAATGAAGTCAAAAAAATCTTGCAGTATTTGTAATTCGTTTTTTTTTTTCTCTATCCAGTCATGGACAAAAATAACAGAAAATGGAAAAAAAAAACATTCAAGACAAGAAAATAGTTTGGTCCGAGTGTAAAGTCTGTTTACACCCACCCGACAACCAACTGCTATGCCATACTACTGTCGGATTATCAATTTGTATTTAATGGTGAATGTAGTCTGACGCCATGGTCAATATTTATCAATTAAGTTTCAGTGGGGGGTAGGGGGGTTTGGGAAAAAACTAAAGGAATTAAGTTTTTTATCCTACATTGAACTTTTGATGTTGTCCCTAACCTATTGTAGTAAGTTATCAACATCTAGCACTACTTCAGCGTCAAATCAGCGCCTGGAATTGCTGTAAAAAAGTTTTTTTGCTATACATGGTATTTCAGTTATTACATAATCGAGACAAAATATACACACATTTTCATAAATGGGGTCAGTGACCAGCCTTATATTATTTTAGAGCCTGTTAATAATAAAAACAATGTTCCTATGAGACACCAACGGTACTGTGGAAGTATATGGATCAAATTTACAAGTTACTACAATAATTTCACTTTCTACGAATAACCGGTTTATTGTGACTTATTAATGCGGACATTCTTCGTGACCGAGCACCGGTATATGGCTAAATTTTGAAAATAACCACGTCGACGGAAAGCAGGGCAAACTATTGGTCGCGTAGGTGTATTGAAATCGATGTAAATAACTCAAAATTGAGATTATGAAACAAAAATAAACTCACTTTTGCAGACGTGAAGCAGAAGATTGTCAATATGGCGATAAACCGGAAGTTGGAGTAAACCCTTTGACCTTTAAATCCAGGGAACCAATAGTGACGCTTGTAACACAACCTACCAATCAAGGACGTTTTAACAAAAGGCGCCAATTTCAGATGAAGTCACACGCGAGTTCATTTCCACGACTATTGACAACTTGATGCAGTTCTTCAACATAATTATGGCGAATGTACGTTTTCTTTCTCTGTTTATTCTTGTACTATTATGTCGTCTCTCAGAAAGTTTTTTGTTCTGGGCTTCCGACACTGATGAAAAAGAAACAAAAGTACCAAAAGCTTATCCCGTTAAAGGACACGCCCCGTTCGAAATGAAAACGGATGATGAAAAATTTTCGGCAGTGGCTCTTCAATACTTGTCAGAGTTATCCGAATTAGATTTGTGTCACCATGAGGTAAGAATACAACATATTTACTTATAAATAGTGATGAATTGTGTATAAAAATAGTGTGCAGATGATATCATAATTTGTGTAATTTGTCACGTAAGGGTTGAATCAATTACTTATAAGGAGAGGTGAGAGGTGGCAAGAGAATTAGTGTAATGTCTCGAGAATATGGGGTAAAGTAACGCAAAGGGTTTCTTTTGTAAATTATTATCATTTCATTTGTAATATTCTTGTAGGGTCAAACAATTTTGAGAGGGTTAAAGTGTTTTACAAATAATTTTGGAGGGGACATCCAACAACCCTCCTAATTTAATTACATATGCCCCTTGAGAAACCTATTTGCAGGTTCATATGCAATTAAATTGGGTTAGAGTTAGTGTCAGGGTGTTAAGTTTTTTACAGATATTTCCAAAAAGTATTTTCTTCCACCCCAAGAAAAAAAATATTGAAGAGAATAGATTACTGTAAAATGGCTAATTTTCACTGGGTTTAAATTTCACTGATTTACCATTTCAGGCATATTCAGTGGGTTTTAAATTCACGGTTTTATCATTTAGATAATGCATTCTATGCTAAATTTTACATATTCACTGGGTTTTAATTTAGCGCCTTTTCCAGTCAGCGAAATAAGCTAAATTAAAACCCAGTGAATAATTAACCCTTTTACAGTATTAGCAATATACATGTACTTGTTTACTTCTCCTGCAAATGGAAAACTGGAAGTGGTGAAATAGGCACAGACCATTGAGCTTACTATAGAGATTAACATTATAAATGCAACATTAATTACTTTAACAAAAAATCTACTTTAATGGTTCAAACGCAAAATAACAAGGACACGGAAAGGGTCACCCTCACCCCTCACCCCTAACACTCCAGTCCCTGCAATGGGTGAGGGGGCCCCTAAGGGACTTTTACTAGCGACACTGGTAATTAATGGTGTTGGTGTAGAGCAAGGGTGCAAGGTTGAGGTGGATGCATGTAATGCATTTTAAATACGACACTAGTAAATAAGTTTAATGTTTTAAACCCTAACTGATGCTAAAACTCAAAATATATAGAGCTCTAATCTTTACAGTTATAAGCTAGGTTTAATCCCAGTGGGAACTTGGCCAGAGATGACCATTCATATTCACTCCTACACAGTAAATGTTGTCTTAGTTACAGACTAATGTTTTTAACCTTATAGCCCGTATTAAAATGCTGTGCATGAATGCAATTAATAGAATGGAATGGAGTAATTCACTTTATTACAGAGTATCATCATAAATTTAATGTTCCTTTTTTTGGTATATAAATAATAGGTTCCCAAATGTATAATCTTAGATATTCACTAGCATCATATGCAATTATAATTTGCAATTCCAATTAATTTTTTTTGAAAAATCCATTGTACATTTTTTATTTAAGGTGATTGCAGAATTAAAAGATGCGTGCAATGATATCACAGAAGAGGAACTTGCAAAACTTGGTGTTGCTCTGTTAAACTGTCAGTCGCAAGCTGAAGGTCGTACTACCTACACATGTACTGAAGATATGGTAAGATAAATAGTTTTCCCTACATCCAATGAACTCCCCTATTCTGGCAAGCATGTATGAGTTTTGACCTGATCCAGGGATCTCGCCACACTGCTCGAGGGTGGTCAATCCTGACCGGTAATCAAAATTGGCGACCACCACGGAAACCCGATCTGATAGGTGATTTTCTGTTCACTGTATGATCTGGTGTGATGCATGAAGTATGCGGTTCGTATGACTGCAGCAAAAATGAAATGATTTGATTTTCAACCTGAATGAACCTGAATATGACATTGAGCTATGTTACTTAATCAAAATTCTATATCAAATGTGTTTAGCGCATTAAGTGTAGAAATACTCCAAAAATGTTTTTAATGTCACTACAACACTATGACCTTGGGTTTTTCAATTTATTCAATTTCACACTAAACGTGGGATCTCGCAGTGAACGGTAAGTTGTCCATTGCCATATGCAGAAAATGCCGTTAGTGACGCTTCAGAGTTCTTGATGCGTTCCAATCAGGAATCCAGGAATCCAAGAAATTACCATATTATGTTTTTGTATGCCTTTATCTCCACAGCAATCAATATTGTCATCTTTCTTTATATGGGACTAATACCTCGTACATGTGTAGAAATACCACAACCACTGCCCTCAAAGTTTCAGTTTAATAAGTTTTCTGTAATAGAAATGACACAACCTTATAATGTTGAACATGTGAAAAATGACATTAATATAAAAACATTATTTTTTTTAATAGTTTTAAATCAAATTTATATTGTTATACTGTAAATGCAATAATATTCGCTAGTAATAAAATTTCGCTATTCCCATTGATAAGTGAAATTCGCTAAATTATGTCTATGTGAATTTGAACATTGTTTCCCTGCCAAGTTTGGGAATTTAATATCCAGTGTAATTCCACAAAGCAGCAAAAAGGTGAAATTTAATTTCTGTGAAAGTAAATAGTTTTATAGTAATCAGACTTGTCACTTTTAGATGGGATTTACTTTCATTTTTTTTCAAATTAAATTAATTGATTGATTAATTAATTAATGCCAAGTGATTCTAAAGGAATGCAATTGTTATTCACAGAGCATTGGTGATTGTACTTCTAGCATGGATTCTAATACGTGGAATGCCTATCATATAATAAGCAACCGTGCGAGGGCGGTATGCTATGCTGTAAGACAACAACATTTCCAATATAAAACCCAGAATGCCGTAAATCAATTAGCACTTACAGCAGAGGGACAACTACACCTCATGAAACATTTACATGTAAGTCTGCTACCCTTGGATTCAGTTGGTCAGTAAAAGTAAATTTTAAAGTTGTGTGAATGTGTTTTAGATGGTTGTGTAGTTTGATTTGATAATATTTTTTCGTGATGATAAGGAAGTACTGTTGTGGCTGAGAGTGTTGCAAAAGTGTTGAGAAATTTCTGCTTTTCTAACCAGAACAAGAAATGTTTTTCTAAATAGATGCAATAAAGTTTTTTTTTTGTTTTTTTTTAAATCTTAATATTTTTTTTTTAGGAAAATCATGAAAACTTGATTGAGTCTACAGATAAAGTCATCAACACAATGACAACTGGACAACGGGAATTGATTGGAAAACAAGAAAGACTAAAAGCATCTCAGGTTACATGCTTTTTTATTTAATTTGCATAAAACAGACTTCTATACTGTAAAATATTTTCGCTTAGAATTAATTTTTGCTATTTTCGCTGAATGAATGATTCAGTGAAAATAAAACCCAGTGAATATACCTTTTTTCCTATAATTTAAATTCAAATTGTCGAAAATCAGTGAAAATAAATTCCATACAATACACCCAAAAAGTCTTTTCAGCGAAAATTAATTCTACTAAAAATAAATTATTTCACAGTATATTGTCTTTAATTAAATTATATTTGAATAGGAGCTGTTTATGTGTGCATGTTTTTGTTAAGTGCTCACAAGTCACGATCGGTTATTACGAACACAAGGTATTATGAATGTGTTCTCATCTCCAGGGAGCATGCGTTTTGTAGGCATGTGTATGTCTGTGTAATCTCTACTGGGTTTTGTGAACAGCGTAACATAAAACAATAGTTTATTTATTTATTTGAAAAGACCTACGGGCATTTACAGTCCCATTTACAGGCTCCTCGCTTACACATACATCAAAATACAATAAATAACATATACAATAAAAAACGTATACATTTAAAATATCTGAACTTAAGAATTAACTGATGTACCTTAGATTTAAAACGGCTAAAATTACTAAAAATATCAAGTTCTGAACCATTCCGCAATAAATAGTGTAAAGGTCACGGAAAACTGATCATTTGTTTTAATGGTAGCTAACTACTTTCAGAACATACAATGAAATGCGCCCCCAGTGGTGAAATATTGAATTTCAATCATTTGTTGGCAGGAGTGAAATTAATTAGACATGCAAATTATCCAGATCACAAAATGACGGTCATGGGGGGGGGGGGGGGGTAGTTTGGAGGAAAAATATCTTGTTAGGATGAAGTGGACATCTTTTATGATCACGTATTTGTCGGTAACGATGACTTTTCATTACAGGTTCAGATGCAAAGTCACATTGTTGATAATCTTCGTATTTTGACAGAAGAAAAATCCCTGATTGCCGCTGGACATAAAGAATTTGCTGAAAGAACGGAATATTTACGGGAGTTACTTGGTAAAGGCATGGGTGTAACAATGTTTTAATGTTTTCAATAAACGTCATAATACATATGAAAGTATAGATAGTAAGAATACAATTATCCTCGGGGGCGGAGCTACGTCACGGCCGTTCTACGTTGCTAAGACGGGCACCACTGTACATGCATTTCTATGGGCTCTGTGCGCGCTGCTGTGGAACGCAATTATTGGAATAGAAATATCTTTTTATGACTGTTTCTTACCTTCTGGCTCCTGGGTAAATAACAAAAAAAGTTGTATACAGTGAACCTTTTCACCACCAGTTCCCTCTTTTCATCACAAATTAACAATATAGTCTGCACGCTCCTTCAGAAGATTAGGACAAAAATATCTAACCAAAAATTGAGTCAAATTTTGTCTGTTGGCTCCGAAATTAGTGTTTAATTCCAGAAATACTGTAAAATGACTAATTTTCACTGGGTTTAAATTTCACTGATTTACCATTTCGGGCATATTCAGTGGGTTTTAAATTCACGGTTTCGTCATTTAGATAATGTGTTCTATGCTAAATTTTACATATTCACTGTGTTTTAATTTAGCGCATTTTTCCAGTTAGCGAAATAAGCTAAATTAAAACCCAGTGAATAATTACCCCCTCTACAGTATTGAAGAATATCAGAAAAAAGTGCAGTATTTATACAAATTGGTAAATACAATAAGCTTTCATTGAAATTAAATTACCAGTAATTGCACGTTTGACTCAAGAGCTCAACATTGTCTATGCCCCTTAGTGTGCTCAGGCTTGTATGCCTTCTTCTGACATAGCAAATGCAACCGCCCACTTTTTCAAAATGAGGCACTTACTGATGAATAGTGTTGAACTAATTCCATAATATTAATTAGAACTGATGATGTTACAACACCATTTTCGAATTAGCCATTTTTAAATCTAATTGCTATTTCGGATTTAGCTAAACATTTTTATATATATAAACTTCACATAAATACAGACTACTGACAACTAATAAAATGAATCCTATTGTTCGTGTTGTGTGCACTCTGGATCTGTTTTCTGTAATCCTTTAAATTCTTAATTCAGAACTCCATTTGCTCTTTCTTTTACGCGAGACATTGATTTCCAAAGACAGTTAAACTTCTCATAAAATACAACAGAAAGATTGTTTGAGTTTACAGAATTTCCTGTAATGTATTCAGTGCATTTGTAAGTCTTCATTGATTGAGATGCTTATAGTGATAATGAACAGCTGAAATTGTATATTATCAGAAACTACAAGTAACGAATTGATATCACAAGGTTCAGACGCCAAAGAAAATCATGCTCAATTACTTGAAGATCTGTCGGTAATACGCGATCGTGCTGGTGAAATATGGACTAAAATTGGTGAGACATCTCATAGCTTATTCATTAATTTGGCTTCTAAAGAGAACACCTGTTGCTATGCAATTTTATTTCGTCATGTGATCCACAAAATCCAATCACAAGTAGTGACTGATACCACTTTCATTATGCAAATATATATTTTAGTCATGTGATTGACATTAGCCAATCAAGAACTAGCATAATTACATACATTTGCTTCTATTGTAGAAGGGAGTTCTCAGAATATAATGGATTATCATGACGAAAGCCGACAATATTACGAAAACACTCTTGAGAATCTAAGAAAGATGAATGAAACTGCCAACCATGTTTTAGTATTCCTTAGTAATATGCAAAGTGGGATTGATAAGAAGCTCAGTTGGATCTCATCAGTGTTGGGAGGAACTGGTATGTAAACACTATGAATTTTAACCTTTGAACCCAAAAGTCAAATTTTGTCATTTATACAAGCGATTGTCCGTCGTCCGTGTTAACTTTTTCAACTTCTTCTTGAAAACTACAAGCCTGAATGCTTTGATGCTTGGTATATATGTACCGGTCATGTCATTCATGGAGAAATTATCAGGAATGCTATAGCGATTATGAACAAACTCCAAGATTACTGGGTCCAATATGTGTAATGTGACCCATGAAAATGTTCACTGCTACTGGAAGGTCAGCTGAGTGTCTCTCATCAATGCGTCTTTTGCCAACGAATGAAACAAATCAATATACACAAATATGACTTGCAACTAATTTATTCCAGTCCCAATATCGCGTGACAAGTAACGATTGACTGCAAACAAACAAAAACAGTCAATAAGCAAATTGCTGTACATAACAATTCATACAGTAAAATACAGCATACCATAAACTACATGACTTGGGAAACAGCGCCCTCAAGCGGTTAAATTCACATTCACTAAATTCTTACAGTAAATATTCATACAGAGCAAATCTGACATAAACACAGAAAACACCGAATTAATAAAGCAGTCAAGTGTAACATCAACGAGAATGAATAAATGTGCTGTAAATAGCAGATAGTTTAATCGATCATACACAATTATATGATGTAATGTTCACTGCACAAGTTATTGCATGATAATCAATATGCACTTGTATCGAGCAGCAGGGAAAGTTTCAGCACATATAAAACCCAGCAAATTGCAAGAAATGTTATTCTCACCGTATTTATAGATTGACCCAGCAACCAACACAATTCTGAGACTTTCAATCAGTCAGGATTAGGAGTGCTGGATGGCAGTAAAGCAGACTACTTTCACAGAGCTTCACACACAACTTTCTGTCAGCCATCATTTCGGAGTCACTGACCTTGGCTTACCCAAACCTGCCACTAGAGGCGCTGTTTACTTAAACTAACAATTACATACATGTGCATCTTGTATAATAAAGTACACTAACTATTTTGTGGCGACTAAACACTATAGTCTCAATAACAAACATAATAACAAACATAATAACAATGAATAAATAACAGGTCGGTACCTCAGGTAAACCTTACTTAGATTTGTTCATTTCATGATGTCTTCAATTCTTTAATTTAGATTTTTTGTTGATTTTGGGGTAAAAAGTGATATTTTCGACTTTTTGCTGAAAACCACATGTCTGATTACTTTGATATTATACATATAAGAACTACAGGTGGGCCTTTCTCAGATTTGTTCTTTTTGTGATATTTTCAATTCTTTAATTGAAAAGTGCATTGCTAACAGCGGAGCTATCTCAACTGAGAGGCTGCATGTTTACAAAATAATTTAATACCTGTAAGCAATATGAAATTATGTCTATCTGGGTCAAAATTACTGTAAAAATTTGCAGCCAAAACTTAAGAAGGAAAAATTGGGTAGTTTAGAATTCTTGTTGAAAACAGCAAGTCTGATTGCTTTGATACTGTACATATTGTTCATTTTCTAATGACATCTTTAGTTCTTTAATTGTAACATGCATTGCTAAGAGCGGAGTTATCTCACCTGAGAGGTTGCTCGTTTTTTTCAAATTATACATGTTAGAATGTGTCCATGACAATTAATTTCTGTTGATACTCTGTACTAGACCAGCTAATAATTCACTCTCAATAGACCATTTTCTGTTCACTGCGAGATCCTGCTTTATGCATGAAATTGAATGTAAAAACAGGACAAACAAAGTCGTAGTGGCGACAAGCACGAAACTATTTTTGGGGATATTTCCATGCCTAATTGTGTACTGTACTCATTTGATGATGGTCAATTTTGATGAAGTAAGGGTATTCAAATGCAATATTTCCCTGTCGAAGATCATCTTTCGATGTGAGCTACAAAATTGAAGTTCAAAATCAAATCGTTCAGAGCAAAATCAAATCGGCAGATGTTCGGTTGGCCTCTTTCACACAACTTCCGATCTCACAGTTGAATGGAAAATCACCCAATACAATCAATGCTTTTTAGTTCACATTAATTTATTTTGCATGAATAACATTTCCCTTAATCCCAACAGCGACTGTCATTAACAATGACTTATTGTTTAACTAGATCATTAAAGTACGACTTGACATACATCTCTCTAAGATACAAACACATTCACTCCAGCCGTGGAAATTGTTATTGTTTTATATAATTCCACAAAGAATTGTAGAATTTCTCATGTTGAACCGAAATTTACATAAATGGTCTGTTCTGCCAGTCCTTTATAATTATCACCATATTCTAATGCGTAGCATTACTTGTAAACTACATGTACATCCCAAAATGAAAGACAACTTTTGGCCTAACCTGTTCTACATGACTATATCGCATAAAATTGTCTGGGGTGTACAATCTTTTGCACATGCCTACTTTCATTCTTTGGGAAGTATTCCACTCCTGTCCTGGCTTGTATAATGTAACCACTGCCTATCCGGAATAATTTATAGCAAGGAATGCTCCTCAGAATAGACCAGGTGTGGTAATTTCGCATCGAACAAAAATTTAAGAATTATAAAAATGCCAGCTTGTGTATTCGTTGGTCAGAGACTAATAATTGTTTTTTTTTTCTAGGTGACAATGTGGCAGTACTGATGACATGCATTTTACATTTATTGTATTTTTTGTTGATTACATTCGTGATGACTTTACTAAAAACTCCAACATTCTCAAGATTTATTCTCCTGCTGATCATCCCCTTGAACGCAGCATCTCAAATCAGACATAAAACTAGTTTGGGATACATGACGTTAACTTGGTTTATTGCTATCTGTGTTTTGGGTAAGTATTGTTTTGCTCTATGATGAATTTTTCGTAGTATTCATCATGAGTTTGTTATGGCAAAATTCGTTGTCGGTTAATAGGCAGTCTAATTCCTGCATCTTACTCTGTGAAAAATTGAAAAATCATGCGATGATGCGGTTTTAAATTTTGTGTTAAGATTATTACTTTCTGCAACTTTGTGGATTAATGGCTTATTTTGGAGCTTAAATCTGGTAAGTGTGGTATTGTATCTGAAAATTGAATTGCTTATTTTGAGGATCTTTTGAAAGCACAAAAGATCTAAAATTAGCTATTGTAAAACAATGCTGTTCAATCCTAAAGATAATGGATGTATATAAAGTACCGGGGTATTATAATATTTTAATCTTTCAGTAAACTGGCTGTACTTGCTTTTGTGGTCTGCTTTAAGAGGAAAACCCACCCCAGTGAGATCTCAAGGTCCAGACTCTCCCTGTTCATGTGGATTTCAGTCACCCTATAAATCAATTGCATCTCCACTTTCATCTCCGTATGTGACAAAGTAAGTGTGGCCACCTAATAATTAAAATCATTCCTTCCAGTGGGCATGTCTATCTGTCTACCTACCTACCTTCCTACCTACCTACCTACCTACTTACCTGCCTGCCTGCCTGCCTGCCTGCCTGCCTGCCTGCGTTTTGTCTGCATCTTGATACACATGTCTTTCTTCACTTTCATTGCTGTTTTTCTCGCCCATATAACAATATATTCAAATTAAGCAAAATGTTATTGCTGCCTGTGTTTACACATTTGATTTAAATCATGTTCCTAAATCTATTGATTTAGTCATTCTGAAATGAGAAACATAATTAATTTGTTCATTTCATTTTTTACACCCTCTGAAAGTCAAATGAAATGCGTTTTCCATTATTTTAATAATTGCCATTATAGTGCTCATAATTCAGGCACATAAATGTCTTCCATTCCATTGTCCTACTGAATCTTTATTGTAATTACTTCACCCATTGTCTTCCTTTGTTTTCTGTCCAGTCTAACCCCATTACCATCTGGAGTGAAAAAGGCTGTATCTGATGAAGTAAACCATCTCATGAAAGGTGAACATTCCAACTTATTGAACTCTTGAACTAAGAAAAATTGAAAATGAATTGGGGAATGTGGTTTTAATCAATACCACAACAAGATAATGGTTTAAATTTTAATTTAGATCAAAAAAATACCCCCTGAAACAGAAAACATTTTTTTCACTATTAAAAGGTGGTGATCGTCACCCTATGCCATGTGCAGCATACACATCATGTGTAAAATGCATTGTTTACATGACGCACGATGACCACCGCCCCTTTATTCTGAGCGAAAAAGTCAACTTCAGGCTCCATCCCCCAAATGCTTCCTTTCATAATGTGTTCTTTTCCACATAAAATGTTGCGAAAATTTCAAATTTGATAATCATTTGCTAGAAGCAATATCACATTTTGTTTGGCTCAAAATTAAGATTGAATTCAGTGAAAATTGTAAAAACTAAGCAAATTTACAAAAATTTGAATGGGAAAAAATTTGCCAATCGAAGGATTAATGTTGAACAGACTGAATTTTAATTTGCTTTTAGATATTAGTCAAAGATTTCATTGGTCAACAGCATGACCTATCAGTTTTAATTCTGAGCACCAGGATATTTCTGGGTATAATTATAGTGCAACCTTCTTATAATTTTTTCTGTAATTTGTGTCGTAATTTTGGGATAAAGTGAGAATTTTTAAAGGAACTAGTTTCAGAAGGACAGCTTTTGATGTAAAAAAAATATGCACAAGATTTATGGGTTTAGTGATCAAATAATTACTTTTTGTGGAAGGTTCCTAAAATTGATAAGTAGTAAAACTATTACTTGTTTCTTTCTTTAGTTATACTTGATGGATGGAGTCAAGATAATCTACCAAAGAAAACCAAAAAAGCCGCCATCCTTGATAATTGTCACTCTGGTAAGAATATAACTTCCACAAACCAACAATTTTGAACACATTTTTTATTTTCAAATTAAAAATGAATAATTGATAACACGCACCCATTTCTTTTTATGGATTTATTGATAAATAGATGTTATAATTTTTGACTAATATATTTTGTTCGTTTTTGACACTTGTGTGTGAAGCAAACATCAAGACTCGTTGCGTCTGTCTGTCTGTCTGTCTGTCTGTCTGTCTGTCTGTCTGTCTGTCTGTCTGTCTGTCTGTCTGTCTGTCTCTTCTACAGATATCTCAAGAACCGCTGGTCTGATTACAATGAACTTGGTACATTTTGTTAAAAATTTGTGCATAATTAACTTTTTCATTGATATTTTAAGTACCAAACTGCTTGAAATCCATGCATATTAATTAACTTACCGGTATTTGCATAACAATATTAACCAATTTTCTATCTCAAAATCCAATTATTGTATTTCAATAAGATTTCGTATATGGGCAATTTGCACGAGGACAATGTCATGGTTACTTTGGTAATTCAAGCATTCTAATTTGCATAATCATCACATTTCATTGAAATTTTCTTTGGGGTAATCCAGATGTGATTAGTTTAATGTTGAAAACCATGCATATGCATACTTTTACTCTGGAATAAATCAGACTGCAAATCACAGATGTACATTCAAATTTATTTTCTGTGATTATTATCAAACTCAATACTGCGAAGCACATTGTTTTTATGCTTCCCATCTCAAATAGCATACCAATATTAGTCGCCAAGCTAATGAAATGATAATCTTAAATTTTGAATTGATTTTAAATATGCCTCCAATGCACTCACACACAAGTTCTTTCTAAGCTTGCTTTCATTTGTTATTTCCATTTATTAATTTATACTTTAATCTTCCTTCGCATTAATATACCAAAATGGATTTAATTGCAAGAAAGTTATTATTATCTTTTTGATCTTGCTGTTAAATACTATTTAAAACTATTGCTCCTCTGGCAAAAGTTGAAATACCAACTTAATTGGCACTTAAAGCAGGGAGTCATCACCTACGCGTGCGTCAGGTGGCCATAGTGTGTCATTGTTTACAAACAAGTGTCTACCAATGAGTCTTTGCATTCTTAGCGTGTGTTGCGTGGTGACAACCCTCCCGCTTTAATACTAACTTGATTACATGAGAAAAAGCAATTCATTTAGAGACAGAGATTGTTGAAATTTGAAGGAGTGGATCGCGTACACAAGATTTTCTTAGGAACTGAATTATTAGTCTAGCGAATCTGATTGGGAGTCTCTGAAAATGTACTGCCTTAATAATTTACTTTTGATGATTCATTTTTACGTCTTTAAATTTACAGAGTCCAAGCTATTTGACGAGAGTGAGCTCAACAACTCAATTGTTTCCAACATGTCAGACATAACCATTAATAAAATTTTGGAATCAACTGCGCTCAATGCTACATTACAAGAAACCATTGGACATCACTATGATAGTGTCTTTGTTTCAACTTTATCACCTGTTACCCCAAGCAACAGTTGCCAAGCAACACCTCACTCTAATGATACACCTATGCCAACATCGGATGATGATGTGTTCCCGCCCACACCGGGTATTGCGAGGAAACATCTTGGTAAATTACTGAATGAAGTTACTGGATCTCCCAGAAGACGAACTAAAAGTTGTACACCACAAAAGAACAATGCAAACACAAGGTATGTCATGTTTCTGGTTGTTTTTAAATTATGATCAATAAACTAATTATTTATTTATCTGTGTTCCTCCTACTGCATTGGTTAGATCAACACTTTTGTTATCACTTTTTTAGCTCCGCTGTCGACTTTGTCGAGCAGAGCTTATCATATGAGTGATTGTCCGCCGTCGTCGTCCGTGTCAATGTTTTACTTTTCGACTTCTTCTTGAAAACTACAAGCCTGAATGCTTTG